TGGACTATGGGGTGGTCCAGCTTATATTTGGGATGCCTTTTTCAGCACAGATAAAATCCCAAGACAAAAAGACTTTGATCTCATGTAAGTTCCTTTGTGTAAACAAGCTTGCATAGCAAAATGGTGCAGATAAATGTAGATGAAATGGGCTTTGTACAAATAAATGTAACTATATTATGTTTCTCTGGTATAAAAATAGATCACATGGTGGAGGACAAAAATAGGTGACATGGTAACATAAACCGACTTGTGTAATCAGAGGGTCAAGTCTGACATTTTTCTCTCTAGGCCTTTTCTAATAGTCTTGTTGCTAGGGCTACAATGTTTTTGCCAGATTGGAACAGAATTGTCAACTCTAATGAAGATTAAGTAGCTTGCCCAACTAGGTTTTGTTTTTTTTTTTTAAGCCTTAGTGAATACTGCTGGCTTTAAAAGTCATAATTATGAAGAATGGAAAGATCTCTAAAAGATCTATTTTTTAAAAAATATATAACTAATAAAATTTAAAATTGAGTAGACAGTTTCCATTTCACAGCTATTCCAACATAAACTTTTATCAGTCACATTGAACAAAATAACTAGAAATATTTCATACATTTAAAAAAAGGAATAAGAAATTATCCAAAAACAATTCACAAAAGACTGAGTAATTAAGGTTACTTAACAAACAATTCTTCTGATTAGTTGGAAAATTACGTTTCACCACTGTTCACAAATTGATACCTGATTTATTCTGTAGACAATATAGATTAGGCATAGGATAAAATCCTCTGTATTTGGTTCCTCCCAGTCATTGGTCAGTCATCTGACAACAGACTATCTGAGGAAAGTGTAAATACAAAGTCACCCAATAAAACATGAACAAGTTTTGCAAAGCACAGTAAAGGAAAGCCAGTTTGTTCTGAACACTTTATTGCTAAAAGGATGTAAAGGGTAAGAGGAAAAAGGTGATGAAACAATCCTTTTGTTATGCTTGTTGGGGAGTCAGGATGAACTTCCTTGGCCAGGGATAGAAGGAAGAGATCATCTAAACTTCAAAAACCACAACATAATTTGCATACTTCCTTGGCCAGGGATAGAAGAGACCATTAAACTTCAAAAACCACGACACAATTTGTGTGCCCATTGACCCCAGTTTTACTTGTACACAAAAGCATGAGAATTAAATAAAAATTCACGTAATGAGTAAATAATAAACGCTAAGTGTTTATTCCCCTCATGTATTTATATATTTGCAGCCAGAAATTCCAATGTTATGCGTAACATTGTTTTTCCAATAACCTTATAGCCTTTAGAACCAAAAGTCAGTCATCTTAATTTGAATATTACAGCATTAGTGACATCTGGTGGAAAATATAAGAGTTACAATGTAGCATTATATAGCTATTCTGATCTTTCACGTAAATTTTAAATAAATTTTACATACTAAATGAAAACAAGATGAAGAAATGGTCTATGAAGTTATCTACCTTATTGTGCTAATAATCTTTGAATCTATATGCTAAAATATATAGGTTAATGAACATAAGAAATGTTAGTGCATTATACTAATAAAAGCATTTTTCAGCATGCGTGTCCATATAGTGAAAAAATGATAAAAAGGGTCTCTTTTTATGAGACTCACAATAGGATAAAGAGTCCATGCCTCTATTTAAAGGAGAGCCCATACCTCTCTTTTTATGGCATCACATGCCAAAAAGCCTCCCTTAACAAGTTTTCAGATCAAATTGTGAACTGTGGGGTGTGTTAGGATGTATGTCAAGAAAATAGCTAGTTGTGCTTTGGAGAATATGGAATTTAGGTATATTTGGGAGAGACATTCTGTTTGAGATACTATGGATGGAGGCAACAAATTATGTTTTACAAGTGAGCTTTAAATATTACAATATCAAATGCTCTGAACTAGGGAGGGGTTTGAATATTTGTGACCAAAAGAGCAAACTGTGATCTATTACAGGACTGGCAAACTACAACCCTAGGGTCAAAGCAAACAGCTATGTTTTTTTTCTTATTGGAACACACTCATGCTCATTCATTTATGTATTGTCTATGGCTGTTTTCAGCCTCTTGAGTAGGTGCAAGAGACCATATGCCTTCAAAAGCAGAACTATTTACTACCTGGCCATTTACAGAAAGTTTGCCAGTCTCTAGTCCATTAGATAACTGTCATCAAACTTCCTGGTGCCCTTTCCACCACCTCCATGGGAGGAGTATACTTCCTGGTCCCATCCCATTGAAGTTTGGCTTGGCCTTCACTTGCTTTGGTCAGTGTGAAAAAGCTGGCTTTCAGAGTCCTAACCAATGTCCCTCCAACAGAATGAGCTAGGTGCAGCAAAAGTCAACCAACACCTGAGACTGTTATACCTCAGCATAAACCTTCTCACAGAGGTTTGACTTCTCTGATGACACTGGGAAAAGGATCCTGAAAGCCAGATATATTTCCACTCCTCCTGGGCTCTACTTCAGACCATGATGGGCTTAACCTCTGTTCATCCCTCTACATATGGTAAGCAACACTGAGCCAGAGTCCAGGCCAGGCCTAGAGACCCATCATGCTGTCTTAAGAAGAACCTTCTCTTTAACATGGTGTAGAAACCACTCACAAGTCTTTCAGCTGTTGGTTTAAATGTCTTCCTCCTGAGGTAAGCCTCAAGGTCTAAAAAGAGGATGGGACAGTCCACTTGGAGCTACAGGGCAAAGCTTTTCCAGTCTAGCTTCACCTCAATAAAGTTCATAGTTTGGCTCCCACTCAGCTCCAAAATGTGTATTTTATACATTATTAATTATTATTTTTTGAAATAGTCTTGCTCTGTTGCCCAGGCTAGAGTACAGTGGCACGATCTTGGCTCACTGCAACCTCCGCCTCACGGGTTCAAGCGATTCTCCTGCCTCAGCCTCCCAAGTAGCTGGGATTACAGGTGCCCGCCACCATGCTCAGCTAATTTTTGTATGTTTTGTAGAGACGGGGTTTCACAATCTTGGCCAGGCTGGTCTCAAACTCCTGACCTAGTGATCCACCTGCCTCGGCCTCCCAGTGCTGGGATTACAGGCGTGAACCACCGCACCCAGCCCAAAATGCGTATTTCTTAATTGATTATATAATCTGTAAGGGTTAAAATGACTCGTCATGACTAGCTCCCCAGAAACCTCAGAGTAAACAGTAACATGCAAATGATACAAAAATCTAAGAATTGAATCCTGTTAATAACGGTAGCTGAGTTGAAATGACCAGAATATACACACAACCTTTAAAAATGTGATTTCAGCAGGGTGTGGTGGCTCACGCCTATAATCCCAGTAGTTTGTGACATTAAGGCAGGTGGATCATGAGGTCAGGAGTTCAAGACTAGCCTGGCAACATGGTGAAACCTCCTCTCTACTAAAAATACAAAAATTAGCCACGCGTGGTGGTACACGCCTGTAATCCCAGCTACTCGGGAGGCTAAGACAGAATTGCTGGAATCCGGGATGCGGAGGTTGTAGTGAGCTGAGCTGCGTCACTGCACTCCAGCCTGGGCGACAGAGTAAGATTCCATCTTGGGGCAAAAAAAAGTGATTTCACAGAATTTAGTCTGACATCTCAAATAGTTAAAATACAAATGAAGCATTTATTGGCCATTTTCTTGATATCATCTAGCTGGGTAACACCAGTGCTCCATTTATTCCATAAAGATATGAAGAGTCTACAAATTTGTCACTGAGAACCCAGAAACTGCCACTGATCCACAGTATTTGCTCAATATGTAATTTCTGAATGAACACATTCAGACTATCTGCAATTACTTCATACACATAAAGAACTTAAGAGTGTCTAATAATAAGCATTAATAAACTGAATTTTTACAAAATGAGGTCAGATTTAGATTAGAGATGAGAGAAGACTTTACAAATCTGCCTTAAATTGACCTTGGAAAAACAGGTGAGAACTGGATAGAAAGCATGTACCAGATGAAGGTATTAATGAAAGCACAGGAATAAGCATAGTATTTAAATACCTAAAGAAAAGTAGGCTAATAATAAGGCTAAGAGTATAGTAAAGTACTAAAATCAACATTTGTTCAACTGGAATTGTTGGACTAATTCCAAAGGACATTTATCCTTTCACAATGATGAAGTAATAGCTTTGTCTATTGCTATGAGATCAACAGGATGTGATCAAAGTTTATCCATTAGATTGAAGACACCTCAAGACTCACTCAACTTTGTATCTTTAAGTTCTATAACTTCATAGGAACAAGAATTCAATAGTTATGCTGAATCAATTCTAATTACCATTTAACTATATCAACACCAAACCAGTATCAAAATTTTTAAGACAAATTTAAAACAAACTTAACTTTATTTCCTCACTTTCACTTAAAACTTGATTTTATAAAACACACACACACAAAAACATTTTTAAGAGTTCTGTATCACAGAACATTAAAGAGTACAAATATCCATTGCTTCATAGGTTCAAGTTACATAAATTAAAGTCAAATTTGGAAACTGATTCATTAGGGAAAACTATACATGAAATGAAGGTCAAAAGGAGCTAATACAGCAATATTTCATTGTTTATAGATTATTAGTTACTTTCAGGACCTTAACAAAGATTCTGAATATTTAGACTTCCTTTGCTGTATTTTATACTTAAATATCTCCCTACCTATACTGAGTCAAGCTACTTGACCAAAACATCTGATTTAGGAAAGCATTTAGCTTTATAGCACAAGTTTTTCCATCTACAGTTACTATCTTCAAAGGAATATACATCACAACGTTGACAAAAAAAATTCCTGGTTCCTTTTGAACAGTGTGCAATAAATTCATGATGTTAACTCCATGGTAAGTCTAATAGGCACCAAAAAATAAAAGGAACAATTACACACAGTTCAGTAAGTATCATTTTGGTTTTCTCCATGTAAAAATTAACCAATGAAATAAAACATATTAACTGTAGATGATTTGATTTCAGGAAAACCAAATTTCAAAATTACAATTACATTATTTTCCTCACATCATCCTCAGTCATTGACAGGAATTTTGTAGGCCACCATGCTATTTACTTTGTGGATTGTAGTAGTAAATGAACGAAGGCGGACTTCCTCAGAATTGGTAATAAACTGTGGTCCCGACTCTTCCCATTTTTCAGGTACAACCAAATCTTTGTCTGTATAAATCAGCAGATCAAATGAACCTAAATTGGGGATAAGATCATTAAAGTACATTACTTTCTAAAAGTAAAACTAATCTTGTTGCCTCTCTTCTATTTTGAACAACTCACTGCTGGAAAAGGTCATTTGGCTTGGCCTCTAATCACTAATTTATTTTGCTCAATGAACATTTATCTTAATAAAGAAAATATTGTATCTAATTTCTGTGCAATTTAGTGATTGTGTTCAAGTAACCCTTATCTTATTTAATAATGGTCCCAAGGGTGGGTGCGGTGGCTCACGCCTGTAATCCCAGCACTTTGGGAGCCCAAGGCGGGCGAATCACTAGGTCAGGAGGAGATCGAGACCATCCTGGTTATCATGGTGAAACCCCGTCTCTACTAAAAATACAAAAAATTAGCTGGGCATGGTGGCGGGTGCCTGTAGTCCCAGCTACTGGGGATGCTGAGGCGGGAGAATAGTGTGAACCTGGGAGGCAGAGCTTGCAGTGAGCCGAGATCGCGCTACTGCACTCCAGCCTGGGCGACAGAGTGAGACTCCGTCTCAAAATAAATAAATAAATAAATAAAAATAATGGTCCCAAAGCACAAGAATAGTGATGCCAGCATATTGTTATAATTGTTCCAGTTTATTAACTCTTACGATGCTTAATTTACATATTAAATTGTATCACAGGTATGTATGCATAAGAAAAACATCATACAGGGTTCATACTATCCATGGTTTCAGGTAGTCACTGTGGGTCTCCTTGTGGAAAGGGAGACTATGATACATTAATTTTGCTTTATAATGTTTTTTCTTCAATTTATATTACATAAATCTGACAAGACAAAATTGAATAAACGGGTGATTAAGGCAGTAGCTTAGTCTTTTTGCCAATCAATTTAATCCAACAAGAAGTTGTATACTTACAGGAAACTTCCAACAGTGGCAGAAATGTCACCGTAGCTGTTATCTGTCTGATCACTGAACGGATTTCATCCTGGATAGCTTTCTGAGACTTTTCTCTGGGTGCACTGTCAAAAAAAAAAAAAAAAAAATCAACAGTGCACCCAATCAATTAATTCATTTTAGGTTTTAAGTTATTTCAAACATAGTGGTAAGATTGTTTATTTGATTAAATGCTCTCAACATCAAATAAGCAGTGCTTTAAAAAGGAGGTTTGTAAAAACTGTGAATGAAAGTATCCTTTGGACCTATAACGTAGTAGGCACAACATACATCCTCATTACTTCATTTATCCTGCCAGGCATCTTTTAGAGCTGGTCTTAGTGTCAGGTCATTTAGTATCAGATGACTAGAAAATCTGCCAATCATTTCAAGTTCAGGAAACTTCAGCATCTCTTGAAATAAAATAACAAATGCTATCTAAAATATTTAATTGGTATAATCATTTTGGCACTTTTAGTAATGCCTAAATGTCTAAATTCCTATTTTCTCAAATAAAACATTAAATTGTGTATCAAATTATTTTATAAGCTAAAAATTTCCTAAAATAAACCAAAGCCTTCAGAAGCAAACTACATTTCACTGTAAGAAATGGTTCCCAGTTTATAGAAAAGCATGCCTAGGACAATGCTAAACATTAGAGTATAAAGACAGACACTTCTCTTCCAGGGAGTCTGGAACTTTCAGAAATTTATCAAGTGTCTTAGGAAGTAGATGGCATTAAAGGAAGTACAGCAGAGCTACATCATAAATTGTGTGAATCTAATATAATTCCTTATAGTTAAAAACATCTTAGAACAATTCATTAAATGGTTCATCTAGTATATCATGTGTAGTTTTGTATATACCACCATAAATACTGTTTGAAAATTGCTGATTTAGACTAAAGGCAATTATATATATGCAAATCAATGATATGTTAAACCGACAATTCTTTTCCACAGGTGACTGAGGATATCTTAGAAAATATAAATTAGAAACAAACTATATTTTATATAAAACTAGTTCAATATAATTAGAACTCAATTGGTAATAAAAACAAGTTTTGAAAAAATATATCAAAGTAGAAATAATGTAATTCCTACTTACCTGTCATCTTTTGCAGTCTTGTCACACTCAATATCAAACTGCCATCTTTCCAGGACCTCACCACTTTCAATATTTGAGATAACTACAACCAGTTTCTGAACTGAACACTTGTATAACCAATCTGCAACACATAAAAATGAAGGCATCTTTCTTGGTCCACTGCATCATAAAGTAGCTCTCTTCTCAGGTCCTACTCCCTATCCTCAGCAAATTCCTACCACTGCTATCTTGGACTTCCTCCTACGTGCAAGAAAATTTGCACCATCAATACTCTAACTTCTGTTTTCAAATTCTCAGTATCTGTACCAGGTACAGTAATTGGTGCTGAGGACAGAATACTGAACATATGGTACTTTCATCCTAATCCAAGATAAAAGTATAGGAGATGGGCATTCATCTACTCATCACACCAATAAATGACAAATTATCATTGTAATGGCTGCTATGAAAGAGAGATGTAAGATGCAATGAGAGCATAAAAGAAGGAAAATTTGAGCCACTTACGGAGGTCAGAAAAGGTTTGAGTTTAGCTCTAGGGATAAACAACATTAAATATGCAAAAGGATAGGAAAGAAGACACAGGCCTCAAATACTCACAAGGGAAGAGCATATAACTAGAAGACTGGAAGCAGCTCACTACAAGTGCAATCAAGAAACAAACAAACAAACAAACAAAATAAAACAATACAATCCTTGCAAGATTAATAGAAGCCAGACCACGCAAAGCCTGGTGGATCAAATTAAAAAAATATGCACTTCAAGACCAGTGAAGTCATTACTGTGTGTGAAGCAGGATGTAAAGCAATTAGTCTTGTATTTCAAAACTATCATTCTAGCTGTGATATGGAAAGTGGACTGGAGATGTTAAAGAGGGGATCTAGAGATACTAGTTGGTCCATCAGTAATTCGAGCAAGAGTTAATGAAAGCTTGTAGGAGGATAAACTGGTAGAGACGAAGCAGTAGGTAAATGTAAGAGATTTCATGGTTAAAATTTATTGGGTTTAGTCATGGTAGTAAGGAAGAAGCATGATTCAGGGACAGCTTCCAAGTTTCTTTTATTTCTGTTTGGACGGTTTAGCCACTGACAGAGAGAAAATTAAAGAGTATCAGTTTTGGATATGACCCTAAATTTAATTTTTAGTATGCTTGAGTATATGTTATCTCTGGGATAGCTACATAAAGATATAGCTGCTGAATATATGAGTCTGGAGAAAGAGGCTTTGGGATAGACATATAAGTTTGTGAGTTGACTACACAGAGGTTGCTAGTGAAGCTATACACAGGTCAGAAATCACCTATGAAACAGCATATTCAGGAGTCAGCGAAGTTTTTGTAAAGAAACTTTGTAAAGAAAAATTACAAAAAAGAGTAATTAGTAAATATTTTAAGCTTATAGGCCACCAAGGTCTCTGTTGCTTATTTTTAAACAAACCTGTACGTGTAAAAATATTCTTAGCTTGTGGGCAGTGCAAAAACAGGCCACCTGTTGGATGCGGCCTGTGGGCCTTGTGATCCCTGGCATTTATCAACAACTTTTTATGAGTTTCACTCTGAAAAGGAGGAGACTGGGTGGTAATTTGTTCTTCCTTTAAAAATGGAGAGATGAAAACAATGGGGATAATTAAAATCAAAACACAGAAGCAGAAAATATAACAGAGAACAGGATCAAGACCCTAAAAAAGGCTAGAGGAAATGACATTCAAAACAAAACAACTGGCTGGGTGTGGTGGCTCACGCCTGTAATCCCAGCACTTTGGGAGACAGAGGTGGGTGAATCACGAGGTCAGGAGTTCAAGACTAGCCTGGCCAAAATGGTGAAACCACGTCTCTGGTAAAAATACAAAAATTAGCCGGGCATAGTGGCAGGCGCCTATAATCTCAGCTACTCGGGAGGCAGAGGTTGCAGTGAGTGGAGATCACGCCACTGCACTCCAGCCTGGGTGACAGAGTGAGACTCCAAACAAAAAACAAACAGAACAACTTGCCTCTAGGGAAGAGCAATTTTTCCACTTTAACTAAAATAAAAGGGAGAAGTTAAATAGGAAGGTCTAGACACACATAACGTGAAGTGTCATCAATGCAGTCTCAAAGGAGACAACCTAAAAACCATTGGCTTCAATGCAGTCTCAAAGAAGACAACCTAAAAACCATTGGCTTAGGCAATGCTTGCTTCTCTAGCAAATTAAGATGGAAACACACATCCATAGTTGCCTAGAGGTTCCAGGCCAAATGATCTGAGTGCAGCCCTATGAATCACTACAGATGATTTATTCCTGACCCCCAATTTTGGATGCAACTCTGGGAGAGGTGGACACTCCTATCAATGTCTTTCCAGTGTACACTTGAGAACAGAGGTCTATTCCCACACCAAAAGAGGTCTCATCTTGCTATTTTGACAATACCAATCTACTACAGCAGCAGTTCTCAACTAAGGGCAATTTTGTCCCCTTGGGCACATCTGGCAATATAATTTATGGAGACACTTTTGGTTGTCAGAGCAAGGTGGTTTGTTACTGGCATTTGGTTAGTAAAGGCCATAGATGTTGGTAAACATTCTATAACACACAGAAAAGCACCCACACCAAAGAAATATCCAGGCCAAAATGTCAACAGGGCTATCTTCCCTTGCCTGTCAATTTAAGACGTAACATCCACAGGTTGTTGAGGCATTCCACTCCTGTACACATAAAAGGCAAGGCAATGTTAACAGTTTATCTAGAGGATAGTATAGGTTGAAAGAGAGTTATCAAGCTAAAAAAGTTCACATGGCCTTTATCGGAAGGGCATATTAAAAATGGGTTAGTAAAAATGCAATAAAAACGGCAAAACAAAGACACATTTCTGGTCAACAACAAAAGAAATAATTTCTAAAAAAAAAAAAAAAAAAAAAAGATGCCCACTGTAGTACTTTCAAAAATTTTAGAAGATCAAATGGGAGAAACATTTGAAAAATTAGAAATGAGACTCCTAAGTGGAGGGTAACATGAAAGAGAAACTAACAGGAATTCTAGAAAGGAAAAAGAAATAGATGAAGAACAAGTATTCACCCGACAGGTAATACAGCAATTTCTCGAACTAAAGAAAAACGAACGTTCAGACAGAAAAGGCTTACTGAATCACCGGCAGAATTTTTGAAAACGACAAACAGAAATACGTGAAAAACAAAACAAACAAACAAAAAAACTGTGAGTGTTCTGTCATTTAGCAGCTAATCTTTTTCTTTTTTTGAAGTTTATCTGGTTGAATCCAATTTCCTTGATATTAATCTAATGATAACATTAGACTACAGAAAACTAATTAGTTACAGAAAATACATTATATTGAGAATATGTAGTGTATATTTTCTCAGATAGTGAACACCATTATAATTATGTAAAATTCCAACCTGTTCCATTTGGCCACATTAACTGCGAAAGCCACTTCTAAGGGAGTTGATGAAGACTATTTTTCAGCCATATCAGATTTCTTACATCAAAATATTCAGCCCACTCACAATGTAGTGGGGGAAGAGTGAATTTCTTCCATTTTATATATTATTTGCTTCCTCTCAACTTAAAATATATTTGAGATGTGAGTACACTTCTATTTGCAGAGCGGAAAAATGACCACTTGAGATGCTAAAAAATCTGCAAGACTCAAATTATTTCCAATGATTAAATACCTTTTAGTTGTTCCACCACATTATTTAGGTATTTTATGAGCTCAAGATCAGTAGTTACAAGCAAGGTGAGTCCGTATTTCTGCACTCGAGTAAAAGTTTCAGATGGATATATGCCACGCTGATATAAAATGCTGTTGATGCCGAATGCTGCAAGCAAAAGAAATGTTACAGAAAATTCATTATCACTGCATAACTCTGGAAAATAAAATATATTTGGATGTGGCTATATTTTCATTAGGCTATACAGCTATAAATGACTGAACACACGTGTATCTTGCTGAAAGCAGAGTAGGTACAAAGTGTCATTAAAAATCCTTAAAAGTCTTGTATCTAAGTAAAAAAAGATAATTGTTTTCACGTGCCAAGGAAAAAAAAAGCCAAAGTGTATCAACCTACTATTGCCAAATTTCACCTCATTGTAATCCAAGTCCAAATTCAGATTATGAGGCTAGAGGATGTCAAAATAGGCTGTTGCATTCGAGTCAGGAACTGACTGAATAGTCACTTTGCTCCAGACAAGCCTGTATCTTCCCCTTTCCCTCCCAAATCCTGCCAGGTTCCTTTACAACGTGCAGCTGGCCTGTTCGAGAACAAGGGTTCCCAAAATCTTGTTTACCGCCAGCCTCATGCCCAATAATCACTTAGAGTGGGAGGGTGAGGGTGCTCTCGCAGTTAAAAAAAACACACACATACACACCCACACTGGGACCCACCCCAGTCACGCTGTGTCCTGTATCGGAAAGTAAGGGGTGGGAGGTGGGACGGATCTGCACTTAAAGGAAGAAACGCTCCGGAAGAGGCTACGCCGCGAGGTAGGCCCCAGCAGCACGCAGGCTTGCAGCTCCACGTTATAGCAACGCGTCAGGAGGAACAGCCTGCAGCCGCCGCTCCCAGATTACTTCTCCGGTCTCAGAGGCCGAGCTGTGGGCCTACTGAGCCGCCACGACTCAGTTCCCCCCAATATAATGGCCGGCGCGAGGACTTACAGAAGAACTCGGCCACGATTTCAGCGCTCCCGCGCAGGGTGATTCCCTGCTCCCGGGAGAGCTGCAGCGCCATGGCCAGGGACACAAACAAAGGCACGCACTTGCACTCGGCGGACAGCAACCACAGCGGCTCCCACAGCACTTCCCCGCCAAGCGTTTCAAAAGTAACGACGCAGCACGTTGTCCGGTCCTCTGCGCAGGCGCGACGAGCCTCTAAGCCCCGCCCCACGCGGCGGGGCCCTGCCCTTTCTCTCCGCCTTCCTGCGATCTCGCGGGAACGGCCGGTTTGCGCAGGCGCAGTTGGTGGACCTGCTCGCGCTTGCCGGTTGTGACACTCCGGTAGGTTTAGGTTAGGCTGTGTACTTCTGGTCGCGGTTTACTAGTTGGGGCCGAGGGAAGAAGATGTCGATTCCAATTTCAGTAGCCGCTCTCTAGGCTTATGAACTGAAAGACCAAGGAGCACAGTTTCCGAGTTTCAAAGATACTTTCAAACTGAAAGGAACGGTTTGCCAGCTGCGCCCGTACTGGCCCATGTGACCCCTAGTGAAAGATCTAAACTTCCGCTAGATGCTTTGGGAATTCCTAAAGCGACTACGTGCACGGCAGCCAACCCACAGCTTTAGAGGGTTCGCCTTCTGTGTGGGAGCCCGGCTTTTCCCGAGAAATTGGGTTAGGGATTAAAGAGAACTGCATCCTTTTTTCTGCCCTTTGTCCACGTCTGTCCTGGGCTTAGGGCCACCCCTCCGAGGCCAGCGGGGTAGGCAAGTCGGGCGGTAGGGGGCTGCATCCGGAAGTCCAGGCTGCGTTCTGTCCACCCTGCCCACCCTTAGGGGGCAGGACAGGAATAAGGTCACCTCACCAAAGAGGCCCATCAACTTTGAAGAATTTTTCAATGAATCTTGACTCACCAAACTCAATGACTTTTCATTGAAAAGGGTGAGAATTATTAAGGAGATATTGCACAATTAATGTTCATGTCCATTTTGAAAGAAGTTTATTCTTAAAGCAGCTAGGAAGATATTTGTAAAACGACGCCTGAAAAACTCTCATATCTGCCAGACATTATAAGAGAAATACTTGAGTGTTGTTAGTTTTCCGTTTGCTGCATAACGAATTACCACACATCAGTGACTTCAAAACAACACCTATTCGTTTTCTCAGTCCTGTAGGTCAGAAGTCTGGACGTGGCATTGTTGACTGCTTTGCTCAGTCACACAAGGTTGAAATCGAAGGGTCTGCAAGTGGGATCTCATCTGAGGTTTGGGGTCCTTCTAAGCCCTCTGGCAGAATTTCCTTGGGGTTGTTGGACTGAGGTCCATTTTGTCTCGCCAGCTGTTGGCCAGAGGCCAGCTATGTTTGTCAGCTAGCCCTTCCACAAGCCTTCTCACACTTGCCATCTCTGTGATTTCGGGGAGACCCCAGCCCCTTTTAAAGGCTCACCTGATTAAGTCAGACCCAGTCACATCTCCCTTTTGATGAACCTAGTCCCAGAAGTGATATCTGCTCATATTTGTAGTTTTCCTACCCAGACTCCGGGGAGGGGATTATGTAGATGTGCTCTCTAGGGGCCAGGAATGTGGGGGAACTGGCTTAGAGTTCTGCCTGTACAGTGTTGTATATCATGTTTTGATCAGTTTGAAGAGTAAGGGATGGGTGTGATAGGTTGCAGGCTGACTTGACCCAGTAAATTTTCCTTAAATCCTTTCATCTCTGTGTGTGTATAAATCACAATCCTTGATGTGAAGAACAGTGTCAGGGAAAGTGCGGAGTAAGAAGCAAGAGAGTTGGATGTCCTTCGCGCCTTCCACTGGAAGCTTGGGTAGAGCTAGAATTTTGGCATCACGCTGGTAGAACATGGTGCCCATGTTTTTCCACATAAAAACTGCCTCTTGTTTCTAAGGAACTTGATATTAACAATCAGCACTTCCGGAAAGATTTTCTTGAGTTTCATGGTATTGTAGTTTTTAAGTTCTCTGAAGCTACAAATAATTTAGTATAACCTGGAAATTCTAGAAATTAAAAGACTGGCATAATTATGATTTTTCTGTGTACAGAGGAAGTACTAAATGTCTGTACCCTATGAGGAGACATAAGACATGAGGTTTAGAAGGAATGGTCTGTGTCTTTTGAGGAGTTTGTAGTCTACTTCGGTTTAAATATTTATACTTTTTTTTTTTTTTAATGAAAATTCGAAGTTCATGAGTTTGGCCTTATCTGGTTTCTGCCTGCATGGGAAGCCCGCTATTAGATTACTTTCCTCGTCTGTCTGCTCCTTTCAATAAGTTGGCCCTCCATGTTCTTTTCCACCTTAGTACTTTCCATAATGTACATTCTTTCTCTACCCAGAAATTTCACTTTATCTGCTCAGATTCCTAATTATATTCACACTCTTTCTTAACTTAAATGTTACTTTGCTTAAAGACATTTTCGTTGGCCCTTCGGAACTGTATAAGGACCTCTCTGAAGTATTTTCATAGCATTCATAGTGCTACTTCACAGCATTTCTTTTATTGTAAAAAATTGTATAATGATTTGTGTTATACCTGATCTGTTTTCTTGTATCAAAAATAAAATTAGGATGAATCTAAAAGTTTATTGTCATAGAAAAAGTACAGATCAGACTCTAGGAGACTTCAAACCAAGTGGGAAGGGTGGTAAGAAACTTGCACTCAGCAATAATGGCACAGCTTATAAGGATAAAGGAGGAAGCATTTGGAGCTTTTCCATGATTGGTTCTTATACATTAAGATTTTTTTGTGGGGGGCAAACAGCTGTTTAAGTTGATTTGTCTATAGTTGATTGGCTTAATTTCACAGAATCATACTAACAAAAATGTAAAGCTTGTGTTTTGTGTTTATGATTAGAGCATTTCAGGGAAATCAGGATGACTTAAGCTTTCGGTTATGTGGTTATGGGCAGTTGGCCTTGATGTATATCTAAACTGTGACTTCCATGTTTATTTTATTTATTTATTTTTAACACCTGTAAGATCCATGATGGCATTTAGTGGATTTTCAATAAATGTTTGTTGAATGAATGAATATTTGCTTAGGAGAGCTTTATGGAAGAATCCAAAACATTTTCTAATTGAAGAATAGGTTGGATGGATGAATGAGGTCACTTTTAGAGAACTGTGAATACCCATCTGTGTTGATTTTATAGGGGGTACCAGGGTTTTCTAGGTTCTTAGGATTGACATAATTAAAGGGGCATTTTTAAAAAATGTTAATTCAGTAATGGTTGTAGAATGGATTGTGTACAGGACAGTCTAGGGTAGTGACCTCAAACTTGATCATGTAGAAGAATTACCTGTGTGTTTTGTAAATTCCTGGCTTTTATTCCACCTTCTCCAGAACTGGTTCAGGCCACACTGAAGCACCTGAAGTATGCTGATCCAAATTGATACATGCTGCAAGTGTAAAATACCAAATTTCAAAGACATCTAAACTAATGGATATAAAGTATTATGTTAATATGTTTTCTCATTGATTACATCTTGAAAGAATATTTTACATGCATTGGATTACATAAAATATATTATTAAAATGATTTCACTGGCTTCTTTTTAGTTTATTTTCAGAGTGATTACCATGACATTTAAAATTATGTATGTGACTCATATATTTTTATTGGACAGTATTTGTCTACAGTATGGGAGTCTAGAGAATGATATGTTTTAACAAGCATTGCAAGTGATTCTGATGCAAGCTCTTAGACCAGTCTCTAAAAAACAAGATACTGTGATGGATATTTTAGCATTCAGGGCTAGGAAGTTGAGTGTCTGAAATAAATGGATGCCAGAGAGGTTGAATAAGAAGAGATACTTTAGGAAAAGATATTTTGAAACAAGGACTGAGTTGATGATTGATAATGGAAGAATGAAGTGGTAGTTCAGATAAATCTGAGGTGCCACGTCTGCAGTACAGGGTAGTATTTGATCCACATTATGGTAGGAATAGCTGCCCAAACTCTGAACTTGTGCTAGTTCTTATTTATCAGAGTAGCACCCAAGATTCTAAAAGCTTTGGAGGGACTTCTTCCACATTAACTTTTGGGAACTTTATTTGCCATTGACCGCATCTTATCAAATACATGCATACTTATCTTTACAGAATGTTTCAAAACTTGTTTTCAGTTACTTTAGCTTACTTTTCTTTATAATTCAATGAAATCTTTTTAATGTGTATTGTTTAGGGGAAGGCTATTTGGACAGGGAGAAGAATAAATTAAGACTTTTTTCTGAAGAAAATTCAAGCAGAATGCATAACCAAACAAACTCATATTAATAAAAGAGATAAAGTGTGTCATAAACAGGCCTATATTTTATATTAAGGTGCTAAAAACAGAAACATAATTTTCTAAAGCTAAAATCAAATAAAATTTTAGGATGAAAGTGACTTAATTAATGATTAGTTGAACAACCTTAAAGATATGGAAACTGAGGTCCAGAATGGCTATACAGTCAGTCTCAGATTCAGTATCTTGATAGTGGTATAGTTAGCCGACAATCTAGGGTTTCTGACTTAGTCTCCTTTTAAATTATATCCATTTGAAGACATTCTGAAAAATGTTCTTTTTCAAAGGTTATTTTGAAAAAAAAACAACAACCTGATTTTACGCTAATGATTTTTACTCAATAACCTATACACATAACTTGTCCAAAAAAATGGCAGTTATTTAATACGAACCATAATTTTTTTTGTTATTATTATACTTTTAAGTTCTAGGGTACGTGTGCATAACGTACAGGTTTGTTACATATGTATACTTGTGCCCATATTGGTGTGCTGCCCCCATCAACTCGTCAGCACCCATCAACTCGTCATTTACATCAGGTAAAACTCAGTATGCAATCCCTCCCCCCTCCCCCCTCCCCATAATAGGGCCCGGTGTGTGATGTTCCCCTTCCCGAGTCCAAGTGATCTCATTGTTCAGTTCCCACCTATGAGTGAGAACATGCGGTGTTTGGTTTTCTGTACCAACCATAATTTTATGTAGATACACAAAGACTTGCAACTGCCACAAGGTGGCACCGTATGCATGTGAAATACTACCTTTTAAAACCAGTAGTACATGCTTTAGTTCAAGGAAAAATGAATTTATTATTTTCTAAGGTATTAATATGTGTGGAATACTTCAGAATGACAT